GACAATACCAGCTCAATTGCCAAGCGAGCCATTCAGAGGCAGATGGTGTCTGTCTGAGAGTGGATTCCTCCTTTGGAAACGAAACAAGTGTTACGTCCGTGACCCGGGGCGTCCCCAGCACATCGTCAGCTGGCACAGGTTGAAGTGCATTCCAGGCGGCAAGGCACACCTGCACTCAATGATTAGAGTAGTACTTAAGGAAAGCGTTGGTGTGTCCTCATTGCCAGATGATCTGTAGTAATCCTGCCGGTAATGTTGCTTTGAACTCTTGTCTATGTGAATGAACCGCATTTGGTAAATGGTAAATGGACTGTATTTTATATAGCGCTTTCTCACAGTGTGTTGCACTGGCCAAAGCGCTTTTACAGAGATGATACACCATTCACCATTTGTGTTATTGAGCCTGACTTTATGTTTTTGCATTATATGTCCGTTTGTGATTACTTTTGCAACAGCCTCTCTGGGTGCTTGTCCTTCTTGTTTTGTTGGGAAGGGTCACCTTAAGTTTGAACTGTGTTTCCCCGGACCGGGTTGGCCTTGACCATTTTTGTTTTTTCTCAGCACAATTTGGTGCAGTGACTGTGAACTGTATCCTCAGTGCTAGAAGACCTGCTTTTATTGCACTAGCTCTGGCTCTGGATCTCTGCTGTCAGCTTTTGTCACAGCATCCCGTTGCCTGCTCTCCCGTCTGCTGTCGGCCTGATCCTCACCCTCCCCTATGGGGGTCCTGCACACCGGACCAGCGATCACCTGTGCCAGTTCCTGCCTCCTTGGACTGCTTCCCATGTCTGCGGCGCTCTCCTGCCAAGAGCCAGCACACTCGGGTGTTGAGGTCCTCAGTATTACTACTGGAGCTAGCTCTTACTTTGAGCCTACCGATTATTCTCTCTCATACTCTCATCCTCTGCTCTTATTCAGCGGGCTGCACCTCTCCTTCAACCCCAGGTGACATTGCTAGCAGTCCAGTCAACCCAGTGTTCGCAGCTGCCCCGAGATCAGCTGAAAATGCCGGCTCTGTCCACTTGTTATTTCTATAACTCATTAAAATACATTTGAGTCCTGCATTTCTCTGAGTCCAAACTAGCACAAATATACGGTTCACTATTTCTCAACACCTCCTACAGCTGGTGCCTCAAATTTCTGCGGATTGTTTCATATATTGTCAAGTGAAATAAAGGTTTCTTTTAGGTGAGACCTTAACTGTAAAGCAGCATTTGTGAAGATTTCAGATCAAGCACAATTTATAACAAACAGTAAAAACACAAATTCAAAGTCATTGCCAGTTGAAATCCATTTTTGAATAATAGGTAACTGGAAGCAACAAGGGAGCGACTTTTACAGCTCAAGATTGGAGGCCATGCTACTGCATAGCCTGGCCTGCACACACACATTTGACGTGCTCAAAGCAATGGAAAACAACAGAACAACAGCAAGCCATGGTCTGTAACCATGGAAATATTTTTAACCTTGTTGAAGAGAGGAGCTCTCTGTTCATTTTGAAGCACCACTCACTGTCACTCGATCCTGAATCACATATGGCTATATAGTCGCTTCACAGACTAAACACAACAGCTGTTTGTTTTATTCTCACTTAAAATGGTGGTATGCATGGAAGAGCCAGACGCCCCTCACTCGCACACCAACCTGCAGCTACAGGGATGATACAATGAACTAGAACATGAGAAACTCGGCGAATACTGTTGCCATGACAACCCAGCCAGAGGATAACTGTTTTACAGCATATAACACCACCCACCACCTTGGCTGCCTCAGAAATATGTCACCCTTCTTTGCTCTGTAAGGCAGTGGTGAGATGTTTTGGTAGGCTTGGGGTTTCTAATCTTTCGCTACAGTGATATGACTGTTTCCAGTGAAAGAGTTGCTTTTACTCTCCACTAGAGGAGAAAACATTAATGAACCATCATATTATTATCATAATACATGCAGAAATTAATTGAAAATATCACATCTGCATTGGAAATGCCATTGGTTTTGAGAAAGAATGAAATGAATCATATTGATCCCCAAGGTGAAATCAGACTATGTTAAGTCAAGTCAAATCAAGATTTTTATTTGCCATTTATGCATAAACAGACAGTCTAGACATATAGGAATTCTTGTGCAGCTCTCCTTTGGAGTCAGATAAGGAGTCAAAAGGCAGAAAGAACACTTAGTCTTAAAATAAAAATGTTCATAAAGGAAACAAAGAATTAAAAACCGCAGTACACAAAAATAGGGTAATAGTATTTTCCCCAGTGAACTTCAAACATTGCACTTCACATGGTGGAGTTGGATATGTCATTACGCTTGGTGAGGTAGTGAGGGGTTATAACATACTAAAAGTTTATATTCAGGCCTGTTTCCATTGCTTGGTGGAGAATGTCCTGCTGTTACTCAGGTCCCACAAGAGAACACTGTTGATGAGATGCTCTTACAAACATACCTTGTGGAACATTTTTGTATTATTATTGCACACGTCTAGCAAAGGGTTATATGTGGTTATATGTTAAACAATTATACGAGAACCATCTGTCACAAAAGAACAAACATTTGACATGAAACTTATTATACATCACTTTGATGCTGGGGTTGGCCAGGTACAAACAAGTCCCTGCCCATGGTCATCTGAATCATTGTGATGTAAATTAATCTGTATTAGCATCATTGTCTTACTAGCAACAAAAATACTGGACAACGCCATTCTATGACAGTGAACCTAAAATTTAGTTTTAGATGGTAGCACTATACCTGTTATTTCAGTTGTAAACATTTTGCAACTAAACAACTTTGAAGACCTACTATTTATATACCATTGTATGTTCCATGTTTCATTGGTTTCTTCAATAGGCGAACCAGTCAATATTAATTTGCCATGAATTGCCACTTTCATTGTGTTCTGTTGACATTTAAGTGAGGTGTCGCCGTCATTACATTTAGCTGGCAGACTGAAGGCCGAGCTGCTACACAAACCACAAATGTCACTGAAAATATGGCTGGTTAAAATTTTGATTAAAAAAGGAAATGAATTAGATCAGATTGATTCATTCCAAATGATTTTATGTTTGTTTGTTTTTTTTTTACTAAATAGAAAATAACATTCTGTTCATTTGCTAAAACAAAACTAAAGCAGGGCTTCAGGTTTAAATAATAAGAATACCATGTATGCAGTGGGAATACAGCTTTATGTGACAATGAGTTGATGAAATTTGTAACATCCTCCAGATGCAAAAAAGCTCTTGTGTCTTAAATCTGCATCACAGTGTGAGCATTTCAGTGCTGCATGTTAATGAGACCAAGGCAAGCACTCAGGCCTTAGTTAATAAACCTGAAGATGAAATATTGCCCTGGGTGTGCTATTGACATCTTTTGTATGAGGTGGCAAATTCAGGCCATTCCCTGTGCACCTTCTGTCATCATTAGCTTCCACCCAGGGAGGACCCTATCAGAATAACCATTGATAGCCAATAGTGTAAAACACTAGAAGGAAGAGAGAGGGACAGAGCTGACGCCTGATTGCTCACATGGGCGAAGATTCATTTCAGTTAACCATCTCTCTGTGCCATGATTTGCTGAACTAATGGCCCATAAATGCACTTGATTGCACAAAGGTGGTGAGACTGATTGGAATGGGAATGATTGTATCCGTCCTGGGGAATGTAACTTCAATAAGTCATTTTAGAAGAAAAACAAAAGAGCGTCAAAGGTCGCTTTCCTTTTTTAACCATAATACACAACTAGTTGCATTAGTACTAATTTGCAGATAAGAATAAATAAATCTTTGAAAAGCAGTAAATGGCAAGAAACCTCATGCTGGAGCTATGCTCATAAAAGAAGAATGTGATTGCATTATAGCCATGGGACAGTCCTGTCATTTAAGAATCCATCGGTCTTGTTTTTTTGTTTGTGTGCTCAGTTTGATCAACTATTTAGTACAGCAAGTCGGTAATGTCAGAAATAGTGAAATATTTTCTTTTAAGGATAACTTGTGAAAAATACACAATATGACACCATTACTAGATGGTACTGACATCTGTTCCATGATGATTAAAGAAATTAATTGTAAACTTTAGTTTTTTAAGGTGAATTTGGTTACCTCATCTTCTTCCACATCTCAGAGAGTTAATATTTATTTGTATATACAGTACAGTAGGTAAATGAACTAGTCAAACTTATTTTCGCATTTGCTGTCTTGGCCAGGCTACCTTTCAGAAAGAGGTTCTTAAACTCAACAGGGTTCAAATAAAGTTGAAATAAGTAAATAAAATTAAATAAATGGTCACTCTTAGGACAAGTTGTGGCACGGTTATAAACAAATGTCAGATGACTGCCGTTATTAAGATTAATAGCGACTAAGTGACACACACTGAAAGATAACAAGAGATCAGCCACTTTTATTTAGAAAGAGTCCCAAAAAATAAACAAGTTAGCACACATGCCATATACAAAATGTCAGTGAGAATAGCCTTGACTATGCAATGAAATTGATAAGCAACTACAGTATGTTTCTATTACTGATTACAAAAACATCAATGATAATAATAATACAGTTTACCTCCCTTTTGGTTGCAGTGGAGGGCTAGGTCAAAAAACCCAATAAAATGTCATAATTAGAAGTGCTTGCCTCTATAAGTTGTGTAACTAACTATTCAACTTCAAAAAAATATGTATATTTAATAAATAGGTAATCAAATTTTGGATTTAATGGAAGCAAAGTAGATTTGATGCTATAATCAAAAGGGGCTATTGTGTTTTATATTTAAAACATTTTATATAAAATATATGTGTATCTTGTGAATATGTCTAACACTGCATTTCCAGTTTCAACAGTTAACCTCACAACTTCAACATTAAAATGAAAATGTTTGTTTGGCAGTAATGAAATAAACGTATGTAGTATTTGCGGCAACAACATGCAACTGGTGCTACTTCATTGTCAAATCAATGCAAAATACATGGAGACTGGAAAACAAAGCGAAAAGGCTATTGTATTAGCACTGTCATTTCCACCAACTGTACATCTAGTTACAAAACTTACAGAATGTATCATTTACATTCACTGAAATGACAGTGAGAGATTATATTAAGACTATATTCATATGTACTGGCACTAGAATTTGGCACTCTTATTTGGCATTTTAAAACACCACATAAATCATGTTGATGCCTCTTTTGATGCAACTTCAAAATGTGATGTGATAAAAGCATATCATACTGTTTTTTCCTCTCGCATTCATGGTGTGTAAACAGATTAATTTCCTCTTGAAAGTTGAACAACAACCCTGGTCGTCATCAGGATAAAATACAAACAGCAAACAAAGGGACGAAAGTGTAAAACAAAAATGGCTGCCACCAACTCTAAGGACATAGAAGAATTGATTCCAAATGTCAAGCATTGACAGATATTTCATATCAACACCAAATGTTAAAGAATAAAATATACAGGAAAGTTTAGAATAAGAATTAATTACATGATTTCCACATCTCACCCCCATATGCGATGTATTTGGCTTTAAGAATATGGAACTAGAAGCTGTTTAGTATTTTTTCTTTCAATATATTCACACATTAAGATGTTTATATCCAACCAGTATGTAAGCAATTTATTTAAAAGCTATTTTGTGAAAATACATAAAAATATTTTTTTCAAATAAACTTTTTTCTTAGATTTTATTAGAAAAAAAAGGACAATTTCACATCATAACGCAGATGATATCAAGTGTGCTTGAAAATCTTGTTTGGCGGTGGTGGCTACAGAGACAGTATGTTTTTGATGACTCTTCCCCTGACGCACATGTGCCCACGCTCTTCACACGCACACACACAGCTGAGATCATTGAAACTCAGCAGTTGCAGTCAATCAAGCCCTCATTTCCATCTCAGTCCAGTCCAGACAGACAGATCAGAAAGCGTGGTGGCATCAGTTTAGAAAAAAGAGGCCTCCATTTTTATTCTCTGAGATTTAATTCCACGCAGAGATGGAGGCGTTTTATGTGGTGAAAATTAGAGAGCAACAACACAAGTCTTTGTGAGCGACCAAATGAAGTTTCCATCTCCTACTTTTCCATTTTCACCACACAGAGACAGAAAAAGCGCCAGAACAAAAAAACCAAAAACGTTCTATTGAAACCACTGTAAGGCACTCAGAAGTTTCTCATTGATCAGGACAGATCTGTTAGGCTGACGTTTAGTCCCATGTCAGGTCTCGCATAAGGGACAGCATGGACAGCTTTAGGAAACTCTGGAGTCATCACCCGACCATTCTCCCCAGTACTCCCAGTGACTGAAAGTCTTGCTTTGGTCCTCATGGCGTCCCCAAAGGTCATCTAGAATAACACACAAAATCACATGTACACACAGACATTAACACATTCACACACACACACACACACACACACACACACACAAGGATCCATACACAAAGAAGGAAAATAATGTGTTAGGTTCAAGCAAGTCTGCATCTGCAAGCTTAATAGATTATATATGTTCAAAACGTGAGAATGTAGATGAGAACCAAAAGTGATGTCCATGGGAAACACAATGCAAAGTGCACATGATCATGTAAAGGTTTATGCATGGTCATTGCAAGCATTATTGTTGAAATGCGTTACTAGGACAGAGGTAATAAACATGGCCATCAACAGTCATACATGAAAATGGTTTCAAATAGCAAGGAAACTTAAATAGACAAACACAATTTTAAACTTAAAAAAAGGGGGGTATCTCTCTCTCTCTCATTAAATCATAAATCACCAGTACATACGATCCTTTGGCCAACTTCTTCATTCACTAACACTGAGGGATGGAACGGATGGAGCCAAAAAAGCGTGCATTTGGGGGGAATTTATGAAAACCTCGTTCCCTACCCCCTAAATTTTTACACTTTCGATCCCATATACGTTGTAACCTTCCTTATAAGTTGCAAAATTCTGTGAATTCTGCGAGGAAGTTGGGTTAATATTCTGTGCATTCTTTGCCACCTTCATTCGTTTCGCCTCGGCTCGGGACTTGTAACAGAACTCAATCAAGGCCACCAGCATGGCCAAACCGAGTCCTCCGACCAGAATGTAGAAGACCCCAGCCACGTTGCTCAGGCTGAGGGCGCTCGTCTTCTCCTGTGAAATGCACATGAGACAGGAGTCAGCGAGAAGGCAAGTGTGAGAGGACAAAATGTAGATGTACGTGAATAAAACAAAATCACAGCCACAACAAAAACTAAAAATGCACAAACAATGCACCACTATATCTAATAGTTAAGATTTTTGACAGCTATCTAAAAAGCACAAAAAAATAAGACAAATAACACATAGGTGCTTTTGCATTTGGGGTAAATTTAATGCAGCATAGTGGGTAAAGTTAGTATTTTAATCCAAATGAAATGCAGCAGCAGTCTGTATGCAGTGCATATAATGTCTGGGTTTGTACTGTACAAGGACCATTTACATGGGTTGCCCATCACAAAGGGCTGAGCTACTACAAATGTGCTCAAAGACATTTACAGAGACAAGAAGGAAGACAGCTTAATAATAAACCAATCAGGGTCAGACACATACAGTACAGTAGAATGAGGATTCATCATTTTCTAAAACACCCATGTATTAATTTAATGTGGATGCCAAATGGATACATAGGGCTCTACTTTATTAAAGTGGTGCACAATTTCTAAATATGTGGAAGAGTGACAACATGACAGCCATAGACAACACATTCACAGTTTTTTTTTTTAAGTTGGGAGTATTAAAGTGACATGACAGAATTGGGGATCAATTATCAAGGAAAAGAAACAAGTGCTAACAGAGGAAAGAGAATCACAACAAGGTGCTTCATTTTTTCCCCACACAGATCATTTCTGTGGAAAAAGTTGGTGAAAGCTGTTTGCTGTTATTTAATAATGGTGGTTTTCTCAAAATTTGTGATATATTTAAAGTGATAAGTGTGAAAGGTAACTGTTGCCTGTGAAATCACTCCATTAATAACACAATGACATCAAAACAGGGCCACAAAAAAAGAACAAAAGACACACAGTACTACACGGTGAGAGACAGTGATACAAATACAGGGAGGAGATTTAACATCATTGGGCACCCTTTATAGATGGTCCAAAGATTTGCCAATCACTGTCAGAGTTCAGTATTCAGTGCTGTGTGCATTTCCTTCGTGCAGCTAAGTCCAAATTTTTTAATTCATAAAAATGTCACAAAAACTTTTTTGTAAGAAAAAAGTTTTCCACTTATTTATTTTTGGAAGTGGAGAGCTGGAAAAAAAGATTTAACCAGTCATTTAAATAAAGGAGTGCACATTTCAAGAAAGACATTGCATGCATTATTATATTATAAAATTGTATCAATGGTATTAATCATTAGTAGGTCTGCAGGCATTAGTAAATTATATCTTACCAAGGCATCTCATGCTTTGTGTAATTGTTTGAAATTATTTATCATTACTTTAAATTGGGTCATTCCCACTAATAATTATGAGTGTGCTTGAATCACATAGAACCTGCAGCGACTAACCTTACTTCCAGAGTCCTTGGATCCACATTCACCCTTATCGTACCACCATTTGTTTTTCAGCTTGTCTAAGATGCCTTGTTCACTGAGTTTCAATACTGCAAGGTTTACTGGCGTTCTTCACGTGGAAAATAACATAAATAACATTATCAATGTTATGTTATGTTATTATTACATTTACACTGATTCAACTTTTTTCTGTCTTTGATTCTCTTTTCTTACATTTTTCTCTCTTCTTTCTGTTGTTGTGGCGATAGACGTTGATGCGCCATTTGGCCTAAGCAAAAGCGAGTTTTGCAGAGCCAGATGTGCATTAGCGTATCGCCTGAAATAAGCAGCAAGGGCAACAGATAAACTGAATGGACAAGTGGCCAGTGATAAGAGTCCAAGCTACTGAACTCATAGTCAAGTCTTACATTTTATTTAGAGACCTGATTGTCAAATACATTGAGTGTATGTGCTATGATTAATGCTGCTGAAGGTTGCTGGCTGTGCAGCTGATTCAGCAGGTGACTGGCCTGCTGTCAGTGTGGATTGGGATCCTGTGCTGGTTTGCTGCTTACTTTTGGGAGTTGCAATGAGTTACCCATCATTTTGCTCACTGGGGCTGACCTTGGAATCACCTCCCCCGCTGCCGCACTCTCCTTTGTCGTACCACCATTTGTTTTTCAATTTGTCCAACAGGCCTTGCTCATTCAGTTTTAGTACTGCGAGGTTAACCGCATTTCTTGAAATGATAAAACATACTTGTAAGACAGGGTGAGCCACTTATCAATTGTCTGACTATAACTCCCTCATTTTAGAGAGGATAAAGATTATCTGCTTAAAAAAAGATTTATTTCTACTATTTTCCCCCTCTCATAGCAATTGGGTAGTCATAGACATTATAAAATAGGATCAAATGTGAGTGTAACAATAATGTTTGTTAAAGGTGGCAGAGCTTAGCCATAACATAGCAACGAGGACAGAGTGCTAAGACTAGGGGGCCTAGTGGCTATAGCAACGTACTCACATCCACAACACACATATAACAGTGTCTGGCAAGTGACTTCACTAAAAAGAGAGACAGCAAAACAGCAATAATGGGGAAAAATGGTTAGACCTCATGAAAATATGCAAAGATCATGCAACATTTTCTAAACAAATCCCTGAACAAACCCAACTACCCATTGAATAAGAATTTGTATGTTATGTTTGGTGATGGAGGGAGTTTTTAGTGCTACTGATCCAACTGAGGGGCACATTGCGCAAAAGGCTATTGCTGTCTTAATAGCAATAATTATTGCTATCGATATAAAAATGGTTTCAGTAATCAACATTAGACAATGCATATTATTAAATACATATTGAAACCCAAGCAGTGCCACAATTAAAATGGGATATACAATTTGTATTACTTCCAATATTTTTCCACAAAGGAAATATTCATTAAATAGTTACAAAAAACAAGTGTACTGCAAGGGTTTAGCAAAACACAGCAAGTAAACAGACATTTAACTATACATTCTTAAAATATCTTATCATAAACATACAAACTAATCAATCATTCAAAGTTAATTAATTAAGGAAAAAGGGCAGAACGACAAGGCAGAAATGTTAAGCATACAGAAATATGGAAAAAGACAAACTCTAAGCTAAGAAAATACTAGATGGAAATACTTTGTAGAAATGCAATCAAAATTTAAAAAAGATGGACGAAGTCATAAAAAGGGATTGAATTAAAGATTCATAATTGTATTAATAAGAGTGATTAATTAGAGCAAAAATTTAAATTCCCAGGTGAAATCCCACCTGGAAAAACAAATGAGTCACAACATATTAAGTCATTAATAATAATGAATGTTGAGACTCTCGAGGAAATTTGTAAATTACTCAGAAAGTTGAGAAAGGACTAAACATTTTTGGTTTGCAATTTATCGACTTACAATAAATTGCAATGCTTTTTAGAAAATTTGTAGAGGGCATTACCTCTTGTCCTTATACAAACCAGAAACACATAAGTAAAGCTACATCAGGGTAGGTGGGATACTATAACAACATTGTACACATTGTTATACTATTCCACCCACCTTAATGAGGATCCTTTCGGCGTGGCAATCCCGTAGCCTTTGGAATCCAGGTTGCCTCCCACCTTCATGGTGTCACAGGGCTTTCGCTGCTCAATGTACTCATTCATGGTGGACTCTAGCAGGTAGGCGTACTTGCCCTTGGATTTGCGGACCCTCAGAACCCCCTCAGCTGTGGTTTTCACAAACACAGAAGGCTCTGCGCTGCGCATGTATGTCCACATTTTGTCAAAGAGGGCAATTTTTGAGCGCTGTGTTGAGAAAAGACAATGGAAGAAACAACCTGTTGTTAAAACAATCCACTGGGATCGACTTCTAATTAACATGTTGACTGTTGTGTCTTGTCATAGACTTGAGTACATTAAATACTGTACACTTAAAAATATATGATGTACATGAAAATAGCAGAATATATCTTACCCTAAAAAACTCTTTAGTGGAGCCAGAGTCCAAAGTCCCATAGGCTATCTCAGTCTGTTTAGCCAGGTCCTCTGCGCTTTCAATGGGAGAAACCATCCTCTCAACAGTCAGAAAAGCAGCCAGGTTAGCCGTGTAGGAGGAGATGATGATTAAAGTGAAGAACCACCACACACCACCAACAATGCGCCCAGACAGAGATCTTTCAGATAAAGAAAAGATAATTAATATTCACTTCGGCTTTATTGCCATTCATTTAAACTTTGCACTCTGTGATTTAACAAATTATTCAATATCTTATAATTCTGTGGCTGTGGTAAGGTGACTTCACAATACTTTTGGTGAACAAATAACTAACACGCCGTCTTGACTCAAAGTGGAAAAAATCTTTTTACACTTAACTGTAAGAGGCAATATTTACATTTCAAATTATAAATGTGTGATGTCACAAGTTATTCTTGACTAATTAAATCACAATCACAAGACAGCTGTTGATTTTTCTGACCTACCTAGGTGAGATGTCACAGCCTTGTCGCATAAAGGCTCCAAGGGAAAACCACAGGCTGTTGAATATGCCAAACTCATTAGTCGACTCATTGGTCTGGATCTGTCCGTCCTCGTATTCCTCAGTGTGCCACTCATATGGGCTGAAGCGGCTCACAAGGAAAAGCACCACGCTGACACCGATGTAGGCAAAAACAATACACATCCAGATCTCATAGGCCAGCGGATCCAAGAAAGAAAAGACTCCAGGTTTAGATTTCTGAGGCTTCTTGATCATGATGGAGATTCCCAGAGACATGAAGGGTTTGGAGAAGTCGATCACCTCTTCTCGTACCAAAGTGATGGTCAGAGGAGCCACTGCGATGTCTGCTTTCTGACAAAAATAAACAAAACAGGACAAATGTTTTAAAGTTTTGAATTAAGACAGTAAGACTGTATTTAATTCGGTTTTTATTTATTGTCAAAATGCTGCAAATGCATTTAGGAAAATAACTTTAACATTAGCCTATGTCTTCTTAAAGCTTTCATTTGAATGTCTTTAAAGTTAAAGAGCTGGTTTTTTCTTTTTAATTTATAGGCATCCTTCTGAAGTGATACTGATAACTCACCCCATACACCAACTCTCCAACCATCCCATTCCAGATTTTGGTCTCTGCATCTCTAGCACCATATTTCCCATCCCCCACTATTTTCAGTTGATATTTGAAACCACAGTGCTTTGCTATCTCAGCAGCCAAATCTACACAGTATCCCTCGTAGCGTTCATTGTCTACAAAAAGGTCAGCATTCTTTTTCAGCATTACATATGGAGCTTCCTGAAAGTCAGAGATAAAAACAGAAAACATTATGTAGACAAGAGGGCATTGGCCTTAAACAAAACATACGCTTATAGCAAGAAATTAGTAGCCAGGTGTCACCCTGGTTGCCAATCTGAAGACAAAATTCATAGAGAAGTGGTAGATTATGCATTCATAAATTATCATATTTACCAAGATGGTGGTGACAATAACAGTTTTGTTTTCCATTCCTGTTGTTTCATTTGAAAAGACATCAGATTTGGTCACAGCCATTTTGTCCACCTCATTCCAATATCCAATCTGTTGGAAAAGAAGACAGTACAGTATATGTGCACTATTGATCCTCAGTGCTAAGAATGCTGTTTATTGGATGAACCTAAAACTTCAATTCAAACCATTCACAAGATAAAAATATAATTATATTTGTATTGTATATGTATGGACCATCCAGATGCTTACCTTCACAGGACCATTAGTCTTTAATTCCATTACATTCACTGTGTAGTTGACTCTCTTGCCATGTTGATCAAACTGGATGTTTCCTGTCAGGCCTTCAACGTGCACCTTGGAGGCACAGAATGAAATGGTTACAGCAGGGCTTTTAAAATTTAAGACAGCTTTTGTTGCATGGTTCATCATAAGGAATTCTGACTGATACGGGCATGTGGGTGAATTCATGTGGAAGGAGACAATTTGCACAGTTTTAAGACTTAAAAATTTTATGTAATCCTGAACAGTTAATAATCCAATCCCGAATACATTCTGAAAACATACTGTTTTCCAGGAGGTCATCGTCTTAGATTTTCTCTTTATCTCACAGTATTTCCCTCATGGGACGGCTATAGGTAGTTATTCCTCATCTTGTACATTCAAACTTCCTGGGCACTAAACGATGGCGTCAAGGCCAAGTACTGATCAATCCTGGAAACAACCTTTCATTCAGTTATTTTAAAAATTTTACCCTGGATACAGCTGATTGATTGAGGACACCCCCCACTGTGAGTAGGAAGGGTGCGGGTACTTTTTCCAGGTTCAGATGGAGAAGTCAGAGTGGCAGAGATGCAGATAAAAGGAAAAACCCTGCCAGTTTGTTGGCTGCTCTTGTGGAAACACAAGATGATGACCATGAACCCTTAGTGCAACAACACAAGCAGCAGTTTCACATATTTGACATGTACTTTTTGTCTGAGTTTCTCTCCTCAGAAAGAGAAGGTAGTATGAAGTAAATCATTTCTGAATATCAATACCTTGCAATTGTTTATCATTTGCTCTTGGATTAAGAAGCAGAATCACTTTGATTTTGATTTTTCTTCCAAATTCAGAACTTGTAGCTACAAATGAAAAACCTCAAAGAAGGAGAGATATGTCTTTGGTTGTCGAGCCTGTTTTCTCAGCAGGGGTGACACTAATCCTGCCTTGCATCAAAGCTCAGAGGACAGTCAGTGGGTAGGCCTCAGTTTCTCTTCCGAAGACTAACTGGCAGTATATCTGTGGGTGTGCACATACGTGCGGTCTTTAATCAGTCTCTGAGAAGTACTTCCTGCCTCTGTGGGTGTTTGTGTATTTTGTAAGGGAGATCTTCTGTTACCATGGCAACAAGTCTTCACCAACTAAAGGATCTATATAGGCTATGTGCTGTGTGCTACCTGTTTGAGTGCTCGCTCTATCTCCACTCCCTGAGCCCAGGGTACTGCGGGGTTGGCTAGGCAGTCACCATTGTTGGCCCTCCTGGTGAAGTCAATGCGTTGCTTGTGCAGGTAGCGAAAGGCTTCCATCATCACCTGCACGGCATCGTAGGTCAGCGCTGATGTGTACTAGGGAAGGACAATAACAAAATATTATGGATATGAGCTATGAAAAGACTGTATGTAGCATAAAAAGCCTGTACAGCCAGAACTTGATGTACCGTGGCTTGTTCCTGTGCAATAGACTTTGCTGTCCAAAAACTGCTAAAAATGCATCAGTGAGCTACTGTTGCACAGTGACATGTTCCTTCATTATAATAAATATGCAGCCATTGTAGTTTACTTTGATTTGATCTCACATTGACTGTCCTGTAATTAGCTACTTAGAGCTTCAGATCCACAAGTGATAATTTTTCAAATACAGGCTTTGTGCCGAGAGCCTCACCTGGGGTCAAAATCAGAGAACAAAGGACCTAACAGATTATTTATTTATGTATTTTATATGCTGACCAAAGCAAAAGTATTTAACATTCCTAGTCTTATTGTGATAGAAATAAATGTTTGAAAGCCAATAAAATGTGACCAATAAATTGCTGACAGCAGAGCAAACTCATGTTAACAGCAAGACTGGTCAAACATTGCCGTCTACCAAAGGACACCAGCAAGATGAGAAAAGCAAAAGATTGTTAAACACTCCAGGACAGTTTTATTTTCCTCCAAAATTTGTTCTCACTCGTTGTAAATAAACATTTCCCAGCAACTAAATTCTATTTGGGCAAAACTATACTGGAACAATCAGGTCATAGCCCTAATAGAACAGTTCGTTGGTAAAGTTTTAATTCTAAATTCTAACCTTAAAATCAAATAAGGATGGAGAACAAGAGCTACTCTGAAAATAAAGTGCCCTTCTCTGAAGATCTGAACCACACACACAGTTACACAACCTTGTCCTAATTAGAGTGCATATGTCTGAGGCAGGTGCTTTTTATTTTCATTTTTTACCCATTTATTTGAACTTTTGTCCTGTAATGTAATAAAATTTGTGAAGTGTTGTAAATATCAGAGCAAATCAAAACATCTTCCAGCAGCCTGACTGTATGATGGTAAAAAGAACCTGAAGCACATGAAATAACATCACTTGTATATATAACATCACCGTATATACTGTACATGTAGGCTTGTGTAGCAGTGCATACAAATCTTTAATGAGAGAAGTGATTATTAATGCAAACAACATGTTCATGTGAGTGTAAAGTTGATGGAGACAGCGTTATTTTCTCTTACATTACTGTACAAACACAGTAGAGCAACTTAGACATTTTTAAATGTTTCCAGAGGTATTATCAACCAACAATCCCATTACACAAATAATCAGAAAGTAAGAAATTGAACTTTTGTGTGTGTGTGTGTGTGTGTGTGTGTGTGTGTAGTACATGCACTCTAGAACTTAAACGGACCCTTATTTTACTGTCAGCACCGGGATACTCCTTTTCTTCCAGGGCTTCCCATCTCTGGTCAAACTTGGACACCAGAGGATCATCAAAATCAACAATCTGAAAGCCGGACACGTTGGCGCCGCCATACTGGATTTTGGATAGATCTCCATCAACGAAACCCTGAAAACATCAAAATTCAGACTGAATTACTGACTGTTTATGAACACTACATTACAGTTAAAGCATTTTAAAGGAAAGAAGGGGACAACACAATCCCTACATACTATAAATGCAGAAATAATTTAAACTTACCAGATTGGCTATAATGTAGTGGTAGCCTTTAACGTGTCTGCCAATTGTGATGACCTGCAGTGTTATACAAAGAGATTAACAAACCTCCCAGTGGAATTAAAAAAGTGCCTCAAGCTAACAAGATACTGAACACACAGAAATAAAATAAATTTGACTTTTGTGATTATTTTTATATTCTCTGATGTATCACTCCCAGCTGTTTGTATTTCAAAGTTTTTTTCTGTTGCTGCTATTGGAAAAAGACTTTATAATGTGTCACTCAACCCCAGCATAGCTGACAGTTCTGGTCATTATCACTGAATTTAAAAACCAGCCATTCATTGTTACATATAGGCTACTACTAGACAGTGATACCCACTTCCATTATCAGGAAAGCAACCAAAAAAAAAAAAAAAAAAAAAAAAAGGAAG